CAGGGAGTGCGGGGCGGAGCAACTGGGCAGACAACCTGGAGGACCCCGGAGCCTGGGGGAGGCACGGAGAACAGTTAAAAGTAAACGCAAACCACACTCTAGGCCATTTCGGACACCCTGGGGGGGCGGGGGGACCTCTTTGGTGCGAAGACCTAGTTTCTTATCTTGGCTCGCTGGGGCCATCCTGTTAGCTATCACTAGGTCAAAAATTTGACGAAGAGATCTTTTGAGAATTGCCAACTGTGCACTTAGCCCAAAAGCGTCAAGGCTCAAGTTGCAGAGATGTTTATTGAACCGAACCTCTTTAAAGCTTCCTTCCCTATAAGTTCCCCAGGAGATGAGATGAGCCATACAAAGTTTTGGGAGGGCTGAAAACTGAAAACTGCTTTACAAGAAGAGGAGGAGGGGGGAAAGCCCTGCGTTTCATTGGAACAAACTATGTTGGAGGCAAAAAACCCCTACTTTAATCGGTAGGATAGGGACAATATATAAAGAACCATGTGACCAGCCCATTCCCGACACTAAATCAACACCTTGTCAACCCAGAGTAATGATAGAACAACAAATGCCACGTTTCTTAGCCTAACTTTCATACAAATCCCCATACGATGAAATTATATTCCTAAAAGATATTACATATTATTTTTAAAAAGTCAGTACTGAACTGTCAGCAAAAATCCACCGGAGGGCAATCAGGGAAGTCAATCACTTCGTGTAGTACTGTTGAAAAGTAGTAACACTTCTTATTACCACCTCCACCCCTTCACTTATTTCAAGAACCTGAAATAAAACTAAGCTTCTAGATCTGACTGAAGTACATTCTCAAAGCTGCCTTGAATATGAATCCAGAAACTTGTGAAATTTGTAGTAAGGTGCATCTGAGGCTTTACCTCTTAGGGAATTTTAGTGCAGGAGAGGGAAATACCAATCAACATACCTCAATGGCTAAAGTTAAAAGAACCCAGTACTAAAAAGTGGTCCAAACCAAAACCAACCCTCTTTCACAAAAGTGACCACAGTGGCAACCAGTGACCTCAACCAGAAAATTCATGTGTGGATTCCTCAGTTAGCTTTGGATTACCTGTTTAAAGGAATACTGCCAACATATGTTAACATAAATCTAGGTGGAGTCCCAGAGAAGTTGTAGATGGTGCAGAGCCTCTAAAGAGTAACACTATTTAAATCCACTTGTCCTTGATTAAAGAGCATCCTTGGTGCTTAAAGAAAACTCTGTGAAACCACAGGATCTTTCCTAGATAGTTAGCAGGGTGATACTGCTGTTTCCTCGGGGGGAAAAAAAATCACACTAAGGCCACCACAGATCACCAAGGAGCTCCAATATAAACAACTGTCTTTATTTCTTCTCTCCCTTACAGAAGACCAACACCAAATATTAACTCGGAGAACAATCAAACCTAAGAGGAGCGTTATCTACCACTTGGCTTTGAACATTTAAGTCAAATGTGCTTGACTAAAACCCTTTAAAATTCATCTTAAATCTTACTTTACACAATTCTCCTACCTTAGCCGAGAAGAATTTGGCCACAATCCTATTACCATTTATGCTAATATCACTTTTCCTTATATAAAAATCAGTTAATTTCTTTATCCTAATGGAAAATAGTGATAACCTAATGAAGACTTCCAAAACGTCTGACATATTGAATAAAGTTTGAAGAACTCCTTTGCACCTTAGAAATGAAAATCATCTAGGTTCCAACGCAGAAACTGCCCTTGAGCCACTAAAAATACTTCAAACATACAATGGTGAAAAGACTCAATAGTTAAAACTTGCCACCATAACATACTCAGGGTTGTCAGTTTTTAGGTGGAGGCCTAACATCAGTAATGTCAAAATGAAGGAAAACAGAAGCAAGTTCCTAACAATCAGCTTGCCCACAGCAGTCTAAGAAATGCAAATGAACTCCACAATCCCGGGTGGAGCTCACATCTCAGTACAAGTGGAGTCGGGAAGAACCTTACCTATGTGGACACTTACTAGATGTCCAAGAACTCAGTGGAGGAGTATTAATAGGTTTATCAAATACAGTTATGTTTAATCTTCTTACAAAAGCTTTTTACAAGTTGTCTTTTACTGTATATGGCTTTAAAGATACTAGGGGCATCATTTGCACAGGTAGGTTACTTCAAACTTTGATTCTGATGGCACTTTGAGGGAAAAGTATGAAAGTGAATTCAAGTATCAAAATTTTACAATTTTGCTCATAATATCAACCTCAGAAATACGTGATCGGTCTACTTAAAATCCAAATGTTACTACTGTATAGAGCCTCATAACTTGGTACAAACTGTCAATTTACAATGTTCCCTATGATGTGTTTCCAAAACATGGGGATTAAGATTCCTATAAAATATAGGGTGAACTACTCCTAACATTCTACATACCACCAACTTCCACTTGCATTTGCCTATATATGCCCGGGATTTTGCTTACTTTAAAGAAAGGGGTTAATACAAGATTCTCTTTCAAATATTGAACCGTGACCACTAAGCCCACTAAATCCTTTTATTGCAATTGGGAATGATCAAAGTCTCTCTACTTGTTTACTCCCAATTATTAACTGTAAATCTCTGGGGGAAACATCATGCTCCATGGCTGTCAAGCCCAAATGACTGCGTAAACATGAGCAATCAACTTCTTAGTGCTCCTTTACCAGAGCATCCCTTTACCACCTGACCTTTGCTGACATTTAGCAAAACCTATAAAACGCAGTGGACACGAAAAGTCAGGATTCTGAATGCATCCCCTGGGCAGAGGTGGGGAGAAAAGTTGTTGTCTCTGCGAGGGGGTTAAAAAAAGAAAACGGGGTAAAGACGTAGACAGAGGAAACCTACAGCAAGACTAACGTCCAGTCACCATCCTCACTCAGGGAGAAAAAACCAAAACAAAGCAAAAAACCCTCCCAGTTTGAAATGCCCATTTCCCAGGAAGCAGGTCCCAAGTCGGTTTGGAGCACTCTCCCAAGACTCCCCACAAACAGCACCTTGAAAACTTTACCATTTTTCCACACAAACGCAGACCTTGGGGGAAACAACTAGGAACCGCCATCTTACGAGCCATCCAATTTCACACAAGTGTCCCTCCAACTTAAGTTAATAACATTTTTGTCGGGGCGCCCCCCGGCCTAACACCCACCTCGGCGGGGTCGCGGCGCCCCCAGTGATCCGTCCCTATAAGATGGGGGCGTTCCCTGGAGGTTCAGACCCCTCCGGGGCGCCTTCTTCGGGAGGGGAGCGAAGCCACTCGACCCAGGCAGCTCCCGACTCCGGGCGCCGGAGCCCGTTCCGTCCCCATCCACCTCGCAACAAAGGGCGCCGCGGCCGCGGGAGCCGCCGAGCCGGCAGACGCGAGGGCTCCGCTCGGGGACCATGTGCGTCGCGAGGCTGCGGAGGGGCGCCCGGGGGAGCAAGGAACTAAAGCGTGGGGCGGCGCGGG